TAGGACTTCTTTTTATAAAAGAAAGACTATTTTTGATTGAAAAGGGAGGGAAAATACATCTAAAAATTCATAAACAATTCTAGCAACAAGTTTTTCAACCAATTCTAGCTGCATTTAGGAAGAGGATTGATGAAATCCAGTCAAAGTAGAGCATAGAGAAGAGGTCTCAGTCAACTCGAAACATTCTGGCAATTGTTTGCCAATCAAGGATCAACAGGTTCACAATATCCAACAGCCTCAAAGATTAGGTAGCACAAGGAGGAATCAGATTTGTGATGTGGGTTATTGTTGAGATTAGACATGGTTTTAGAAATCAATTATACAAGCACTCTTGCCTTTTTATTGGTTAATTAAATTTAATTTTTTTCTACAATTATTCTGGATGAATTTAGATTTTTTGTTAGTGTGGATCTATTTGGTCATTACTTGTGCCTTCAAAAAATTATAGATCAAGGATAGATAATTTGATATCACAATATGATCTATAATTTTCTAATAGAGCGAGTAGTGTCCAAATAGACCCACAAGAACAAGAACCATCTAAGTTTAACTACAATAATTATAGGGAAAATTGAATTAAAATTAACCAATAAAAAGCCAAAAGTACTTATATAATTGGTTTTAAAAACCCTTTTTAATCTCAACAATAACCTGTATTACAAACTAGATTCCTCCTTGTGCCATTTGATCTTTGGTGTGGCTGCATATTGTGAATTCATTAATGCTTGGTCAATAGGTAGTTTCGATTCCCTAGATTGAAGAAGTTTTCATTTTTTTAACTTTCTACCTAATTGGATTTTATCAATTCTCTTCCTAAGTACAGCTGAAATTTCTAGAAGGTTTTCTACAAAGGTTGAAAGTATTTTATTATTTTTTTTGGAGGTCTATTTGCACTCCTTTCAAAGAAAATATTCTCCATTTTATAGAAAGGAATTTGGAAGGGTGGAGAACTCTCAAAGTTTAAAAACTCTTCAAAGCATAAGTTTTCCTCTTGAGGAGAATTTGGGTTTTATATCTTAAATAAATTTAAATATATTCTAAATAGAAAACAAAAAAATAAAAATATAAAATTTAAATAAAATCTCCAAAATCCTCTCGGATCAATTGGAGGCTATCTAAGCATGTATAGTGCACCTGGAGCTGTCGTAATGCACCAAACACGGCCTAGCACACTACGGTGAATTTCTGTGCATTTACTAGCAGTCCTAGGACTCGTAACCCTTCTTGGACACCAGGGGGTTATAAAAGGATGATCTGGTGACCTATCTAAAGTATTCAAGACTTAAGTTTACTTCTTCCGAGCTCAAGAATTTCTAAATATTCTTGACTAATCGCTTCCAACAAGAATCAACAAGCTTTCAACTAATTTCAACTACTCTTGAAAAAGAGATGACAGAATCCAACCAGGTAAAACATAGAGGGGAATCCTTAATTCCATTCCAAGGCATTGTGGAGATAGCTTACCATTCAGGAGTCATGGATTTTCGACATTCAGTAGCCCCAAAAATCAATGCAAGGGAAGTCTGATTTGTACTTGGTCTTTTGTTTGGGTCTGGATTAAAGTTTTCTAAAACCAATTATATAAATACTTTTAACTTCTATTAGGTTAATTGGGTTAATTGAACTAAGTTTTTCCCTACATTTATTTGGTTGAGTTTAAATCATTATCGTTATTGTAGATCTATTTCAGCAATTGCTTCTCCTCTCAAGAAATTATTGGTTAATCTTTACACTATTATTGAAAATGTTGAAATATTGTCTCTGTTGATTTCGCATGAAACTGCAAAGGAAAGGTGTTTTCCCGATTACGCACGAATTTGCAAAAGAAAAGTGTTCTCCAAAAAATATTTTCATAAAAAGTAAAATAACAATCCCCACCCACGGTAGCGTCTTGCATGCCAAGATCAGCGTTCTTAGATTTGTAATGAAACATGAGATCACCGATGTACAAAGCATTGGTGATGTGAACCGCACTTTGGGCCAAACTGAACATTTGAACCGCAACCCCCGCGCCCCCCCCCCCCCCCCCCCCCCCCCCCCCCCCCCCGCGGAGGGGCACTCCAATGTCATGAAGGTCAGGCCCATTGGCCATGGGTTCTCCGTTCACAGGCCATGTAGGCACTGCTCAAGAAAGGATGAGCAAATAACGAAGTTATCCATGACCTTCAAATTACCCATTTCCATAAATACCTCTTTCATGGCAGCCACTTGTTACTCTTTATCCTTATATAGAGATAAATACCATAGAATTTTGAATTACCACCACAATAACGTGAAAACCGATACGTCAGAATCATTTTCAATAGATTCTTTAAGTATTAATTTAATTCAAGCCACTTAGATTCTTAAGGGAAAGAAATTAATTTGATTCTGAGGGAAACATTTGCAGTGATGGAATTTAGTAAAATAGTTTACCAAATCAAGCAATTGAAAAATGGAAACGCATATATATACTTCTTCAATGTATTATTTAAATAAATGTCCATTACTTTCTTTAACTCTTTTGGATAAGTTAGTTGCTCAAAAATTGACACTGAATTAGAAAAGAAAAGAAACTAAAATTACTCCACTGGAATATGGATATACAACCATCTAATAATTGTTTGGCATATATGGTTTGCATGGCAACAAAAGTCTTCAATTTTTTGTTAATTGATGGTGTCGCAAATTGCAAAATTTGGTTAAATAATTAAACTATTTTCCTTTGAATATTTCAAATAATTAAATTAGATTTCTTACCGTGCTTTTCACAAAACAGTTTGAATCTTTTTTACAAAATTTAAAAATTAAGTAAATCATCTTCACAATTTAAAATTCTAAAATTAGATAAAAAAAAAATTCATAGATAACGATAAAAAAATCATATTTAGATAATATATATGTATATATAACATTCATTGAAACTAACCAATAACAACTTTATAAATTAATAAATGTCATAGTAAATCAGCACTTTTAGTATATGGAAATTATCAGCATTTATGATGGATGTTTTCATAAGTAGTATTTTAAAGGACTAAGATTACTTCTAGTACATATTCTCATCCATTTCTTCCCGTGGTGCCATGGATTGTCTCTCTTTTAAAATCGGATGGCTCATGTTAAAACTTTTGTGGCTCAAGGGCAACTAACATGTGACACAGTTGTGCATAAAACTGTCAATAAATTGAATTTTAATCCGAATTTGATCGAATCTAATACGAATTTTAGATTTTTTAACTGATTAAAATGTCTGATAGATTAAATCTAATTATAAATATTTGTAATTCAAAACAAGTGAACCGGATATAGAATTAAATAATCTGATATGTTAGAAATCCAAGTTTAAATATTTTAATAATATTTTTTTATTTAATTAATAATCATATATATATATATTAATAAATAATTTTATATATAATGCAATATATGTGACATTATAATCCATAATGCATTAATTTGTATTTGTTAGGCATTTTATTTAATAGAATAATTTATATTTTTTCTAAACTATTCTAGAATATTCTTCTACTTTTCCTAATTTTAGTTTTTCTATTAGATATTATATTTAATAATTAATCACTTTTGAAAATTCATGAAGCACATGAATAAATTGATTACAAATTTTTTTAAATTTTAACTATAATACGAATAAAACTTGATAATTTTATGAAATACTAGAATCATATTATAACTTTTATATTTTATTATATGGCAAAAATTCTTCTTAATCATTTATAAATAGCAATTTATTTCTAAATTTTATTTATATTTTAATAAAATTAAAATAATTAAACATAAATATTACATAAATTTAAATATCTAGCAAGTTGTTTTTTTTTTGAATTATGTCTTTTGCATATTAGTTATGTGATTTTAATTATTGTTAACTGTTATTCCGATCGGAGTTTTTACTTGGATTTCGAATTTTTATCGGACTCTAACATAGTAGTGATAGGTAGAGAGGATCTTGGATCAGATTTGGTTATATACATTTGTAATCAGATTTAGATTCGAATTATTCTAATTTGATTCAAATTTGATCCATTTATATTCACGTGCACATCTTCTAGGATTCTTATTCTTTTTTTTCTCCTATGACTTCAAAAATTTTAAAGGTATGTTTGGTAAGGTATTTTAGAAAATCCTTGTTTTGAAACTTTTTTTTATAACAAAAACCCTAATGTCTTTTTGTCAAAGAAAAAAATTATAAAATCAAGTATTTATTTTTAGGAGCTTTGCACATCCCACATTGTAAACAATTAGAAATCCTTCTTAGAAAGGGCTCTTGGACTTCTCTATTTTCTCAACAAGAAAGGCTTGTCATTTAAAACATCTTAATACCAAATAACTCCTAATGTTTCTGTAAATATTTATGCAGAACAATTTCGTCATCTCCATAAATGTTAACAGATTGTCTAAAAATCATTAGAAGTTCAAACTTTTGCACAAAGCTTATATTAACTCATCTAATGGATGTGTAACTCCTTAGGCGAATCTCATATGGACAAAATACGGAAGAGATGCTGGGTTTATAAATATGCATGCCTCAATAGCTGATAGATGCATTTTAAAACCGTAAGAGTCTTGGCCCAAAGCGAACAATATTTACCAGTGAGCTGAACTATTATAGAATGATATTAGAGCCACTCCGCGTACAATCTTGAACGGTAGTGTGGCAAATCTCAGCGAGGATGTTGAGTCCCAAAAGAGGGTGTATGTAACACCATAGGCGAATCTTATATTGATAAAACACGGGAAAGATGTTGGACTTATAAGTATGCATGCCTCAATACCTGGTAGACACATTTTAAAACTATGAAGACCTTAGCCCAAAGCATTACAGGATGAATATATTTATCTAATTTATTTACTTAATTTTTTTTTGTATTATCAACCGGCAATTAAACCAGTTGAATTGTTGAACATGATCTAGTAGTCTTATCAGTTTGATCACTGACAAGGTTCAAGGCATATGTCATATGTCTCAAGGTTGTAAAAGCGCAATAGGTGCCCTTATGTCAATGGAAACCCAAATGAGACATTGGCCACAGCGTTAGGCATTGCTTTAAGGACGCTGCCAATTTATTAAAAATAAAACGGACAGATAGAGAAAAAAAAGAAAATAATATATAGGCTAAATAACAAATAAAAACTGATATAACTCAAATTTATTGTCAATTGAAACTTACATAATCTTATTACATCCAGCTATATTTCTTTATATAAGATATGTGATCATTACTAAAATAAAATCCGTCCTCTTTTACCTCCCAATAACAATCTACACATGTATCTTTTATACTCTTATTGAAAACATCAAAAGTCTGTTGCTGTTGCTTATGCGTGAAACTGCAAAAGTAAAGTGTTGATGCAAAAATATGTTCATAAAAACTAAAATAATAATCCTCAGCCGGCTCAGCAACGTGCGAACCAAGATCAGTGTCCTTGGATTTGCAATGAAACGTGAAATTCTCGGTAAGCATAGCATTGATGATGTGAACCGTGTACTGTGGGCCAAAATGAACTTTTGACCTTCCGGTCACTCCAACATCAGGAAGCTCAAGCTCTCCGGCCGTGAGTTCTCCATTCACTGATTGGGTTCTGTGGGCACTGCATAAGAACAGGATGAGCAAGAGAACAACGTTATGCATGACCTTCAAATTACCCATTGCCTGCGTAAATTCGATAGCAGATGTTGTAATTGGATTTTTCATGGTATTCACTTGTTACTCTTTATCTTTATATAGGGATGGAGCCCATAGAATTTTGAATTAAGGTGATAAACACGACAAGTCAAAATCATTTCCAACAAATTCTTAAGGAAAGAAATTAATTTGATCCCACAACAATAATTGTTGTCCAGGAATATACATTTTGCAGCAATGGAATTTAGAAAAATAGTTTACCAACCAAAAAATTGAGATTGAATTGAAAGAAATAACTAAAATTACTCCATTGGAATATGGATATACAACCATCTAAATAATAATTGTCTGCCATATATGGGTTGTTTGGCATAAAAAATGTTCAATTTTGTTCATTGCAAAAATTGGTAATATAATTAAACCATTTTCCTTTGAATATTTAAAATAACTCGATGCCTTTATGAGAAATATTTGAAAGGACTAAGATTTCCTACAGAATATTTTTTGATCCCTCTCCTCACGTGGTGCTCCGAATTGTCACCACGTTTCTCGTTTAAAATCGGATGGTTCTTGTAAAAACTTTTGTGGCCTAGGAGAGCTGCATGTGTCACATACATGAACATCTTCGGTCATGTTCAATGTATAAAAAAAAAAAATTATAGTAAGATAAAATTATTATATCTTATTTAACGTTCGATATGACAAATGTATTAGAAACTCGTTTAGTAGGCTAAATAAGATAGGAGAAGATAAGTTACAAATAGATAAACTATCTAAAATAAATAGTACTTTCATACTATTATCTAGAATTTGGTTGGTAGAATAAAATTTAAATTTTATATGGATATGAATTTAGATATTATGTTTGGTAAGGTGGAAAGTAAGATAAAGGACTAATTTATATGGATACCTTTAATGACAAGGGATTCAATTCCAAGGTTTTATCAAATAGAGTTGGAGAGCAATATTTGATAATTTTGCATATAAAAAATAGGGGCATTTTTGTCACACACAAGCCAATTAAAGATTTAGATAAGCCCGAAGAATTTTATTTTTTTCCCTCCTCCCATATAAATTATCTAAATCTAGTTAGATAATTATTTGTATCTAGATTTTTATCCAATTCATTTATCCAGTCTACCAAACATAGATAAGTTCAGATAAATTATTCTTATTCGATCTTATCCAGTCTACCAAACAATTTCTAGTTAGATAAAGATATTTGTTAACCTAGACATGCACATCTCTATTGAGAAATATTTTCTCTTTTATTAGAAAGAAGATTAGGATAATTATTTAGAGATAAGATTAGAATACATTTAGAGGTAAGATAATTATAAATAGAAAGTTTATCCTAATCCTCTAAGTGTATACAAATACACATGTGATATTCACATTCATTGAGAGATACAAAAAGAGCACTCAACATTATAATGTTATAATTGTTTTTCCCCGTAGATGTAAGTTCGTCATGCCAAATTATGTAAATCCTTATGTCTTTTTCATATCTCTCTTCTACCCCTAATTTAATGATTTTTAGTTTTCTAACATAATATCAGAGTTAAGTTCATTCAAATAACAATCCACAGACTGATACTAAGTTTTTTAGTGGAAGAAAGAAACATCTTCTTATTCTCAAATAAACTTCAGGTATTTGCAGATGGCTAGAGAAGGGAATAGTAGCAACTAGTTTTCTACTGATCACTTAGTGAATAGTCAATTGAGTGGAGAGATCTAGACAGCGGCGGTGTTGAGATTGGTGCGTCATGCAATAGCAAGGGATCGAGCGGCGAAGGTGCCAAGAAAGACAAGGAGATGGGAAGAACTGGAATTGTAAAGATAATAGCTAATCTCTAGTCATGGTTTAGAAAACCGGATTAGACTGATCAGTTGAACTTGCCAGACCATCGATTGTTTATATTTCTGGTTTGGTTCTCATTAAAAACCACCAAAGTCGTGAAAACTGTTCTATTTTTTAAAAACTGTTCAAATCAACAGTTTGACCGGTCAAACCAGCCAGTCGCGTTCAGCAAAAACCGTATAATCTAAAATCAACTAGTTTTTTTTTTTCTAAAAATTGTGAAAGTAGTGCACAAGCAAGAGATTGAACCTGCATCCACAACACATAATAGTTAGTACTCTGCCATTAAACTATTGTCACTCTAGTGTAATATATTGTTTGTTAAAATATATATTGGAAATTTGTTTTAAATGAACTTATTATAATTTTGTCACATGATGGTGATTCACATCTTTCATAAAATTTTAAATTTAAAAGTGTAATATAAATATAATATTAAAATCATTTATAGTAAATTTAATTTTTTATTATTAACATTTGATTAAAAAAAATAAAGACGACATAAATTTGAGTCCCTATATTACATTTCAAAAAATAAATATAACTAATTTAATTATTTTTAATTTTGTGGCGAGCCACAAAAATCTTTCTATCTCTTCCCTCTCTCTCTTCTACACAAAATTTCATGATTTTTAGTTTTCTAATAATCTCTTGAATTTTTGTTCATTTTTCTTTCAAGACTTCTAAAATTCTAAATGTATGTTTGGCAAGGATTTTGAAAATACATACTATGAATTTTTTTTTACAACAAAAACCCTAATGCATTTTTGTCCAAAAAAAACTATAAAATCAATTTTTTCTTTTACGAGCTTTGCACATCCCACATGTAAGTCATTCTTTTCAACAAATAGAAATCCTTTTAAAGAAAGCTCTTAAACTTTTCTATTTAAAAAAGGCTTGTCATTTAAAAAGTCTTGATGCAGAATAACTCCCAATTTTTCTATAATTATTTATGCTTCATCTTCTCCAAACAAGTCAATTGATTGCCCAAAAAAAAAAATTTGAAAAGGTCAAATTTTTACAAAAAGCTTATTTTAAGTCATATAATGGAGAAATATAATTTAAACAAAATTAGCTATAAATTTTAAATAAATCAAATTTATAAATATATATTATATTTGCATGTATAAAAATATGAATAAAATAGATAAGTTTGCAAATGTAATACTCCAAAATTTTGGGATATTTTGTAAATTTTGAAAATTTAAAGGGCTTAATTAAGATAAATAAAACTTTGGGGGGTTGGAAAGCAAATTAAATAAAACAGTCAAGGCTGAATCAAATAGGATCTATAAAACTAGGGACCAAATCGAAAACAAAATCTCAAAATTGGATCTGAGATTTCTGCCCGAAACCCAATATGCCAATTTCGATCAATCAGGAAAATATACAAGATTTAGTTTCCGATTGAGTGTTTAAATATGTAATTTGACGCTCAAGGAACAAAAACCCTAGAGAAATTGAGCCGATTATTCACCGAATCGCCTAATTAAAACAAAGAAATTCCTCTAGCACACACGGACACCCAACGAGCAAAGAAATCAATTTTTCCTTCCTCAGCCAAGATCAAAGCAGCAAGTTGGCTCTTTGGTGTCGCCTCATCACTTTGAACATAGTCGCAAGCATTGGCTTTAGAAGTTTGAACAAATTCCTGGTAAGTGATCAATTCTTGTTTACGGTTTTGCAATGAAACCGGGTTAAGAAGATACAACCTAGAAAGGATCCGGGTTTGTGACGAGGCTGGGCCATTGGAAACTGGGTTTTAAATTTTGGGTTTTGAATTTCTAGATTGGGTCAATGCCTAATGGCTTTGGGTTAATTAGTGGGCTGATTTGCTGGGTTGCGATCTAGTCGTAGCCTAAACTTGAAATCCAGAATCCAGATTATAAAAAAAAAAGAGTAAATAGGAAGGAAATTTAAGAACCAGCCGGTTCATGGGTTATACAACCGGTTTACTAACAGTTCAAGTCAATATAATTTAGGAAATTAATTAATCTAATTGGTTCAATTCTGGTTCAGTGAAAATAATATTGTTTTAAGCTCGATTCAAAGGAAATTGTGCATAAAATTGGTCGGTTTAGTAACTTTTAAAGGCCAGTTCAGTACTTTTAAGTCCGATTCAAGGCTGGTCTAGTGAAGTAGAAGATGATGCACGCCGGTTCAATGATTTAGAGGCCGGTTGATGGCCAGTGCAGCATTCTAATAGCTGGTTCATGACTGGTTTAGCCCTTAGTGATTGGTTCATGGTCGGTTTAGTGTATTTAAATAATAATTTTGGGTTAAATAAACTGGTTTATGTGTTTATGAGATCAATTCATGACTTTGATACTCAGTTCATGACTTGTTTGACTAGTCAGGACTTTAGTGGCCTTCGTATGGGTTCGGGTACAGAAATCTAGAATTTTATTTGGTTCCTTAATTAAAAAATTTTATTTATACGATTCTTAGATACTTTAGAAGTACAAATGGAGATATTTTATTATTTTATAATTTTAGATTGTTCGTACGGTACCTGTTGAGCCCGTGTTGCCAGAGATTGAATTTATTGATTTTTGTCATTTTGTAAGTAATAATATGCATTTATGAGTGATTACTATTTTCCATATTTGTTATAACAATCTGATTTTATAAGACATATCTGATTTCTAAAAATTTGTTTAATTATGATTTTATGCGATAAATCTGATTTTCTGAAAATTTAATAAATTTTTGTTATAAAAGTGAAACAAGGGACATGTATGAATTTATGAAATTGTTTGGAAAGGAATATTTGTTAATTATATTTAATTTTGTACATGGAAAATTGTGTTAAATTGTTTCTATTTAATTTTGGAAATTTATGTTAAATAGTATCCGTATATTTTGGAAAATGGAAAGTTCTATTAAACTGTTCTAATATTTCTAGAAAACTGTTTTAAGGGAGTTTTTAATTCTAGAATACTGCAGCTAACGGCAGTATGTGTTAAACTGAATGCACCCTATCTAGGGTCCCTATCTAGTAAGGGTGATGATGCTAGACTCTCACATTAGGCTAATGTGAGAGATTTATATATGTATATCTATATATGTGTATATAGGTATACGAGGATGCCACCTTCTGATTTCTATTTATCGACATAACAATATGTTGCCGTTCTGTTATTCGACAGACTGTGTGTTATCA